ATAAAAAAAATATGTAGTCGCTCTGGATAAGAGCGTCTGCTAAATGACTAAAATGTAAAATGTTGACTGAATTCAAATGGAATTGATCCCAAACCGGATGCAATAGACTAGAGGATACCTTCCACTGAGAAACACGTACATATTAAAACATGGGATCAAGGAGTCAGATATGTCTAGCCTATCTTGGTCTCACGTTGAGCCTCATACTGAACGGTCAGCTCCATCCACGTTGAGCCTCATACTGAACGGTCAGCTCCATCCACGTTGAGCCTCATACTGAACGGTCAGCTCCATCACCTGAAGCACATCGTTTTTTCAACATCACTCAGATGTTCACAAGACATTTAGGATGAGCAAATGAAATGTTCCTCATGGCTGCATCCCAAATTGCACCCTATTCACACTACTTTTGAAAAGAGCCCTGGTTAAAAGCAGTGCACTATGTAGGGAATACAGTGCCATTTGGGACTCAGCCCATACATCAGATGCAGGTGAATTGGAGCCATTAAGGAGATTAATGCACCTGTCTGCACTGAAGCACAAAGCCTGGTCCTGCTCAATGTTACTCTGAAATAAATAAAAAAACTGTCTAGTGTGTTTGTCACCATGCTTCCCCGATTCTTTATTTAACCTCTGTGCCGAGATGGCGCTAACTTATGGTAATGGCCCCCACCATACAGGCTGTTACGAACCCCATGGCTTTAAAAGTCTAGGGTGGATGGTAAAGAGACCCGTAACATAACTCATGCGAATTAGAATAGTGAAAAGGAACAGTGAGAACAAAATACACAGACAAACAATCCTACCGTCAAACACAAAACGTTTATTTTAAACACGGTAAACGGTTTGGGGGAAAGGGGCTGAGCTGGACCCAAGGAATGAAATAATACATTCAAAAACCCCTAAACTGATCCTGCCTGCCTCAAGAAGCGCTTAGCTTGCTACTAACTATAACAAATCACAGTGGGTGGTCCGCTCAGGTCTAACTAGTGTTTTTAGACTAAGTTTTCCTACGGGTAGTGTATGCTCAAGGGCGACTTGCTAAAAATCCCCTTTTCCCAGGCACAAACAAACAAAGGTACAATAGGGACTAAACAGCCAATGAGTGACTAGACCATAGTTATAAAAATAAAGAAGGGTCTTGGTGAGAAACACTACTGACTGGGTTTTTAAACCAGAACCAGATTGGGTAATGAAAACCAGAAACAGGTGGTGCAATCAGGAGGCGTGTCCACTGATTGGTCCACCTCAGCAATCAGCAGATGAACTGATGACTGACAGGTGGGACACACCAACGACCACCAATCAGGAACACAAGGGACACCTGTGATTAGGGCAGAAGGAGAGGAAAAACACAAAGACACACACAGGATACCTGTATCCGTAACACAGGCCCAAGATTGTACAACTTTTGCCGCATATAAGCTAAATAAACATTTAATGCATTACACATTTAAAGCTGCAATATGTAACTTTTTGGGCGACCCGACCAAATTCACATAGAAATGTTAGTCATAGATCTGTCATTCTCATTGAAAGCAAGTCTAAGAAGCAGTAGATCTGTTCTATGTGCGCTATTTCTATGCTTCCCATTCTTTACTTTCAGTTTTGTATTGTTATTGACAAAATATTTCACAGCGGCTTAGATGGTACAATTATTCTCTACACTATGCATTGCTTGTTTTGTCACGTAAATTGAAATTAGGTGAACTTTTAGAATTTTTAGGAACCAGGAAATGGTGCAGCGATTTCTGCATATTGCACATTTCATGGGTTTCCTCTCTTTGTGAAGGAGCGGTCATAATTCAAACATCAACAAATAATGAGACACAGCATACTCCATTTCCTCCGAAAGCAATTAAAGGCCCGAAACACATACCTGAAAATTATCATCATTTACATCCCGCACCATAATGAATACTATCAATGGATCGCGCCAGGGGGAACATTACCGTAAGACCCGGATAAGAAGGCAAAATGACTGAGACGATTGTTTAAAGGCCCCTCCCCTTCTTCAGGACTAATGGGAGCAGGCCTATTGATTCTTAATTGAAATGATCAAAAACAGCTGTAGGCCTAAATATCACAGTGAATTTTTTATAACAAAATAGGGGGCTATAGGCCTTCAGTCTCCTGCTTTCTAAATGTCCTACGTGACATTCCTACATTGTGAAGGCCTGGGGGCAGTCAGCTGCCGGTGGGAGAGAGAGAGAGAGAAATGACAGATTGCGACTTTAATGTGTTAATGACCTGAGAATGCCATTACCTCGGCAGAGTAAGATGAATACATGCAGGTACACGGGGACAGAACATTAGCATTGCTCATTGCACTGTGACAGACCCATATCTATCTCCAAATGCAACGCTGCAGCATGGCCTGCATCCCGAATGGAACACTATTCCCTTTATAGTGTACCAGGGCCTATTGTTTTCTGTCAAAAGTAGTGCACTATGTAGGGAATAGAGTATCAGTTGGGACGTAGCCATGGTAATGTGAATG